TGTATATTTTTGGTAAAACACGAAAAATACAGTGATCAGAGTTAAGTATCGGTGCACGTTTACGTGTTTCATATACTCCTTCGTCATTAGTAAAAACTAAATCGAGTGTTTTGTCAAGTCGAGTGGGAAATTTGACGATGTTTGTATGACCAAGTGCTTCAAGGAAGGATCAATCTGAGGAGTTGAAATCACCAGTGATACCAGATAAAGAACTATCGAAGTTGATAGCGGCAAACATGGTGAATTCGTCAGCAAAATTTGAAAGATCAGATAGTGAGCAACTGGGAGAAATGTACATGTTTGTAACAAAGATATGTTTTTATTTGGGGAGATGTTTGGGACGACATTTGACAGTAATAGAGTCTATGAAGTCATCTGAGAATGAGAAGCAAACATTATTTGAAATAGGCCATTTGGAGTGAATAAAAGTTACAACGCCTTCACCATTTTTGTTATTTCAACATTTACGGTCTTGTCTAAATAGGATGAAGTCCTTTAGTGAGATGAGGTTATCATCATACAGTTCATGTAACCACGTTTCTTGTAATGTGATTATGGCAGTATTATATAAGTGTCAGTGGACATCAGAGATTGTAGGTATATTATCTTGTTAGGCAGAGAGCGGCAGTCTGTGTTCACAATGACAGGGACAATAGTTAGGTGTATTGGTGTACGTTTGAGAGCTCTCTGCCAAACACTACGATGCTTCCTCCTTGATTTCTTGGGAGTATGAAAGTCATTAGGTCGTAAATGATTAATAAAGTTACGAGAGTAAATGATCCTGTTAGAATTCATATTTAGGTGATAAATAAATGCAATAAATGGTAGGTTGGATGCAATATGTAGATGTAGAAGAAGTTCCTTGAGGGAAGAGCTATACGCAGGTCAATACTAGATAATCTCGTCGTATTCTGCTAATAGATATTTAGACTTTAGTTCATCTCATCTCATCCGTTCGTTATCTGTCTGTGAAGGCAGGCTTAGTTAAGTGTCTAACAAAACGAGCAACAACATTACTGAGTAGCACAACAAAAAACCTAAACAATGAAACAAAAGGGGTAGAAGTGCTGGTGCTAGGTAACTAACTATCCTATAAAATTCATTAGGAAGATCAGAAAAGGTCAAAATAAAAACAATGGGGAAGGGAATAATGATAACACAAATAAGAGAGAATATAAGGCACCTATAGCAGTTTCTCCATATAAGGAGTGATGGATAACTGAGACCTTTTCTACGTGGGATTTTCAATATAGCTGGGATTAAGGGGTGGCATTTGAACCTACAAACTCACTCACATAGGACAATCTGTGTCTGTTTAAAGAAGCTGTTAGTTGACCCACTTAGACAAAATAGAATTTACAAAATACCTTGCAATCACTGAGAGTGGGGTCAAATATATAGGTCGAACAGACCAGTAGATCGGGAGTAGTGAGATCGCCTGTCAGAACCTAAAAATTTGGCTGAGGTTAGAATGATTGATTCGATAAATGAATCTCCTGCTATTAGCCTCTCCCTCCCTCCTGTTCTGTAATACATTGAAGATTGCTATCGTATCCTATCCAGTCGTATGGTTGTGTGTGTGTGTATGCTGTAGCTATTATGTTTTTAATTTTGATTACAGCTTGATGCCACACCATATTCTCAGTACAAGTATGGAAATTTCAGCATGGATATCGGTAGCCCAAATTTTCAGGCCGACCATAGATATCGGGTGTGCGTCGGCAGGAGATCGAACCCCGGACCATGTGCATGGTCGGCGAGAGTCCTAACCACTGTGCCACTCGTCTGTCCGCTAGATTTCTTATCTTATTAGAGTCATATAATCTAGATATTTCTAGGTTTTTGTAATCCACTCCACTCCACTGGTCTGATTGACCCCCCTCCCTCCTAATATTTTGACCTAAAATCATTGTAGAGTTATATAAGGTTTAGTATTATTAGCTACACGCAGCTCAATACTAGCTCATCTCGTCGGTACTGACTAAACATCAAATTAACTCTGACAAAGCTTTTAAAGTTATTTATCAATCGTAAATCACGCAACCTTCTGCATGGTCTACGGGTACGACTTTTACATACATACAGCAGAGGCAATCGGAATTCATCTGAACAAGCCAAATCTGTGTGTGTGTGTGTGGAGCCAGCCAGCCAGTGGATGGTGAGGAACTACTAATTGAAGTAAAGGAATGCACGATTTCTTCGCTGTATCTGTTGTGTGTATTAAAGGAAATCACATGTGGTAAGCAAATAATGAATAATACTTCTGTTGATGTTGATCTGCTTAATAAATCCTTCATATGTATCCCTGCAGATGTTATGATTCCCAAATCTAATAGTATAAATAATGACTGCTTCTCATGCTTTAATACGAATGATGTTCCTAAGTGTCTTCAATCTCTCAAACCTACTCAGTCCCTTGGTCCTGATGGAGTTCTTGCTGTTGTCCTTAAGAAGTGTGCTGACATCTTATGTTCCCCATTAACCGACATTTTCAACGAATCTTTTTCCAAAAGTATTATTCCTGACTCATGGAAAAATATCAAGGTTGTTCCAGTGTCTAAATCAACAAGTGGACCCACTGTCAAGTTTCGACCGATTGCTATTACCTCACCTTTTTGAAAAGTTATGGAAAGATTTATTTCACTTAATCTTTAACCCTCTTTAAAGCCTTTCAATGACCCCAACCAGTTTGCTTATAAACATAATAGGTGTACCTTAGATGCCGCTGTTGTTCTATATCATAATATAGTCTCTAGTTTAGATAGAGGAGCTAAATATCTTCGGTGTGCCTTCCTTGATAACACATCTGCATTTGACTCTGTACCTAGGTCTCTCTTGCTAAGTAAGCTTGCTGCAACACAGACTGAGAGCTGGACAAATAAGTGGTTGCATTCTTATTTTTCTGATAGGAAGCAGTACACTGTCTACAATGGGAAGTCCTCCACTACCTCACTTACTTTAGCTGGTGTTCCTCAAGGTGCTGTTCTTTCTCCTTTCCTGTTTTCTTTTTTCTTACATGACTTGCCCCACTCTGATGTAGCCACTTTTGTCAAGTATGCTGATGACCTCTTTGTCTGCATGCCTTTCAACTCTCAGTCAGACTGTTCCAAATTAAATAACTTTCTCTCGGACATTAGTCAGCGGTCCTCTTCAAACGGTCTTAAGCTGAATCCGTCTAAATGTCAGGTAGTAAATTTCACTTTCAGACGGAAACGTGACCTACAACAACTAGCTAGCTCACATGGTCCCACTATCATTGACGGCATAGAGGTTGAAACTGCATCTAATGTCAAGTACCTTGGACTGAGTATTTCCTCCGATCTTTCCTGGTCCTCTCACATCTTGCTAGTGACTAGAAAGATGTTTCGCTTAACGTTCTACCTAAGGAAGTTAAGGCAGTCTGGTATAAAGCAGTTTTTGCTTTCTCAGTTTGTCAATTCTTGTATTCTACCCATCCCTCTTTACTGCTCCCCATTAATTTTTCCTGGACTACTTAAGAAACATTTTGCTTTGCTGAGGAGGGCACTAAAAGCTGTTAGTAGGGCAAGTGGGATTTCGTTAAACCAACTGGTTAACACCATTGTGGATAGACATATAATGTCATGTAAGAAACTAGCGAATACTATATTGTCAGACCCCGAGCATCCTCTCTATACGCAGATCTCTCCTTGCATTTCATCTGGTAGAACTAGAAGCAACTATACGAGGCTATATGCTAGGACTACCAAGTATAAAAACTCCACAATACCTTATCTGGCACAGCTGTTATGTGATGAGAAATCTGTTAGGTATGATACGATCAACTTACTGCGGCACTCTAACAAATAGTTCCCATTAGCTTTTGTTCTCCTTTCTTTGTTACTATTATATTGTTGCTCATATATTCTATTACAGACTAATTTTATATATCATATCCTGTGGTGCATTGTTGAAATACGTGAATGCAATGTTGTTCTTTTTTCATTTATTTTCTTTTTCTTTTTGTTGCTTTTTATCTTTAAAATCTTATAGAATTTATGAGGTAATTAGATGCAGTATTGTAATGCACGCTGAAAATTCCATACCTGTATCACCAATACTGTTTGGAATAAAGCTATTATTATTATTAATATTATTATTATTAGTTGTCATTGCTATTTTACAAATCTCTTGATTATGTAATAACTTGTTGCTTACGCCACCTGAGAATCAACTTATCTTGAATTCTCTGATTATTTCATTTTCACCCCTTTCTTTAAAACTTTGGTATCTTGTTACTAACACCTATTAGTTAATTGATGTTTCGATGACCTTCAAACCCTTCATTTCACCCCACTCCCCTATACCTAATATTAACTGATTAACTAAATTTAACCATTTGATTGATTGGTAAAAACAATTTTGTTGTAATAATGACTATATATTAGTGTAGAGCGAGTTAGTCAGTCAGCCAGCCGGCCAGTGGATTATGAGGAACTACTCATTGAAGTAAAGGAATGCAGGATTTCTTCGCCGTATCTGTTGTGTTTTCTTCTGAATGCATAAGTGGGAATTTCTAAGTTTGTTGTATGATCAACAACATGTCTGCTATCGTGATTCATAGTTTGGTGTAAATGGAGCTTAATTAGAGAATCAAGTGAACAGCATGATAAACATGCAATCGCCTATTAGATTCGCCTTAAATATTTTGATATTGTTGGTTTAGAAACTTTAATAACATGTATTCTATTATGAAGAACTTTGAGCTTACAATACCATATTGTAAGAATACCAATCTAAGATGGGTATTAAAGCTTTCCAAATAGACAAGGTTTGTACTTCAGTTGGATGATTTTTATTGCCTTATCTTCTCTGAGGAAGATGTCTATGCAGACAACAACAACACCTTGTCAGTTATATCAGCTAGTTCAGAGAATACAACTAAATCAGAAATTCTCTAAAGTAAAATTCACTAGAATCCCAAAGTTTGAAAAGAAAAATAAATAAATAAATAATAAGCACAAACTGAACACTTTTCGTACCTCTAACTCATTCATAATTTGATCCATAATATCTGTTGAAGTTTCTTTATATGCAACTGCAGCCCGTATAGCATCTCGAAATGCTTTTACAACATTCGTACCGTCTGAAGCAGAAACAAAATAAAATGCCATTTTGTTTTTCTTTGGAAATTTGAATGTCTTCTTTGTCACGTCTACTTCAACTGAAATAACAATTAACACATACTATATAATATATACTGTTTAAAAGCTTATACCGTCTATCTTATTAGCAACACATATACAGGGGATATCTGGTCGATTTTCACGTAAATCTTGTAGCCATTTATCAAGATTCCTGTAGGTGATCTTCCGAGTGATATCAAATACAAAGATACATGCATGTGCTTGATGATAGTAGGATGCATGCATACTTTTAAAGCGTTCTTGACCAGCAGTATCCCAGAAATCTGAAATAGGGTTAATACACCAACATGAAAAAGAAAAAGACACCTCACCTACCGACTGAAATTTTCTTGCCTTCAATTTCTGTGTAATATCTGTAGAGATTTAAAGCATAGGTTGATAGCTGGTGTTGCTGACTTACAAGCTTAAGGAAGAAAAGTATGTAAGTAAGTAAGTAATACTGTGGTATATATACATATATAATGGCACTTGTTTATAAATTTGATGCCTTATAAGACAGATAACATGTGTGCTAGTTTTCAAGGAAAAAGTAATCAAAGATGTGAATCTTTGTGCAGAGACAATTACATACGTATAGCAATAAAATAAGTGGTAGCCTAACAGCAGAAGAAAGTATTCCCCGTCTTTCTCATTAAACGAGATAACTTGATCTATCAATTGCAAAGCGACATCTTGGTAAACACCCATTAGGACATTAGAAAAAAGAGAACAAGAAGTTCAGCAAAGATATGCTTTCGGCGACTTCATTTTCAAAAGCAGCTGTACAATCGCATTTAAAAATACATCAACTTACATCGATACAACTACTATTGTTATTTAATTCCACATAATTACGAAGGTGAATAAAAGGTGATAATTATTTACCAACACTATGTGGATTACGAGGAGAGATCTAGAAGCAAAAATTACACAGGATTAGAATATAATTGTAAGATAGTTATTATTTTAAAGGAATCACAAATGTGAGCAGGAAGAGCATGGAAACAAATTTGAAATAACTGTTCGTATAACTGAAAACAAAAATGGGATGAATTGAATGAAGACGAAGAGAGAAAGATACGCGCACAGACATACAGAGAACGAAACAAAAAAACCCGGAGACTAAGAGAACATACCGATCTACGTCCATGGTAATTGTAAAGGCTGGACTAGAGTCTTTCGAAGACACAGCTGCTGCTTTTGGAAATGAAATCGTCGAACAAAAGTAGAAGACATGTCTCGTCAGAAGCTTGAATTCTCATCAGTGAGAAACTTTTTCACGAAACCCAAAGTGATTCTAGTCATAATATTTGACAGTGATGAATTTTTAAAAGTCTGACTTGGCATTACCGATCAAGTAAGAATTCACATGAATTCAACCCTAACGAATAGAATATAAAATACAATGGATTGAGATTTCATACTATTTATTCCCCTGTTTGGAATGTAAACATTCTCGAAGAAGTTCGATTAGTGATGACTAGGTAAAAGTGTGGTGATTATTTCCATCCCTAGAAGCATATTTTGTTCGTAGACAAAATTGTACATCATTAGTGCAAAAGATGCATATGAGTCGTGTTCATCTACCGACTACTGACTAAATATTAAAACTTATTTCAAGGTTTATGCATTAAAAATTCCTCCATCCGACAAGCTACCTAACTGAAGCGATAAGTCTAAAAGTAACCAAATAAAACTTTTGGAGGAGTGCCTCATTTACCTTTCTAAAGCCTCCCAAAAAGACCCGTAATTGCATTATAGCAAAGGCATTAGAAACACTTATAAGGGATCAGCTCTTAGCTCATGTGGAGAAACATGGCTTACTGGCGGTGGAACAGCACCGACTCCGACTAGGACCATCTTGCCTGACAAAATTAATGTTAGCTAGGGAAAACTGGGTTGAGGCCAGGAATAATAAACATCTGTTGGACGTTGTCTTTATCAATCTTAGTAAAGCATTCGATAAGGTATCCCATTAGGCGTATTCTATATACGCTGTGTATAGTAATGCCTGATACTGTTTGTGGCAGTAGCTTGTCTAAAAGAGGCTTAACCAAGTTAACGTCATGCTCGAATCTAGTCTTGGGATCGAGGGCCAGTGACTCTTCCACTTTGTGGAGAATGAGCGACCTGTCAGAGATCAGGTTTGCTTGTCGTGGCTTTCTTGCTCTGCGGCGTAAGTGTGTTTCTGTCCTTCGTGGGCGGTGCAGCCAAAGTGTTATCCTTGTCTCGCTTTCTGCGAGAGACTACGTTACGCTACTCATTGGCGTTCTCCTCGCTAATCGTAGTAGGATTTATCTGCCTGCTACTCACCGGTGTGGATGAGGTTTGATCCACGAGTCCCTGGACGACTTGAGCTGCAGGTTTTCGATCCCTGGTACGCCTCTTCTTTGTGGCAGTCTTTCCATTACTGTCACTGGAGGGCTCATCCAGTATCGTGGAGGCAGCCTGGGTGTTTGGAATGTGGTGAGTACTCTTCTGTGCTGAAGGGCACTCACTTATTGACAGAAACGCATCGGGGACATGTGCTGTTTTGTCGGTGACGCTAGTCACGACATCGTTGTCTGAGCAATAGTCGGTGTTCTCCTGCAGTGGAGGACGCTTGCAGTCCATGAGCTTTAAAGCCCCGCTGAGAGTGGCAATGGCTTCTGTAATACGGAATTTGGTAGCACTACAACAGTCATCGCACAACCAGTTTGCTAGAGGTTTGCAGCAGCGTTTGTATGGTGCAGGAGTTAGGTTTGTGCACATAGTGTGAAACCATCTCTTGCAGTTATCACACTGCATTCCCTCATCCACTGGGAATTGGCACATAACCCTTCCGCAGCGGTTTCTTTTGGTGGGCATACTGTATAGAGCGAACTGGGGAAGAAATTTAAATATGACTTTAAATGTATATAAACCTTTATAAATCAGTGGTAAAAACCAATGAGTGCACAAAATAGATATATATAACTATTATGTTATAAGACACAACTTCCTATAATTTAAATAGACTCAAATCTGAAAAGTAAACTAACTTTGATCAGAATAAACTGATTTAAAGTTAATCTGTAGACTTGTAGAGCGTATAACATAACAAAAGCCAAAACTAAACAAGAGCGTGTAAAATTCACTCCCTTTTCTCTCTATCTCTCTAGGATACATTTACGAGTTCACCACAAGAAGGTGTTCAAACCGAGGTCGGATAAACTATGTGTGGAATTTAGATTCTCTCACAAAGTAGCCAACGACTGGAACTCCTTGACTGACTCAGTAATAACAGCTTCATCGTTGAAATTAGGCATGTGCAGAGATATATGTCGCAAGCATTAACATAAGCAACAAGAGCCTTGTATTCTTATAATTGGAGTCTGCCTACATTGAAGATTTTAGAATGAACTAAGATGTTCTTTAGTAATTAAAGAGATCTTTAAATATCCTGTCAGTCAATCTATAAGTTCAATCCACTCAAAAATATTATTCTTACAAAGTAGTGTAGCATGTGCGTTTGCTACCACACAAAAAAATATCTACAGATGCGAAGTCGCATTTCTCCTTATCAGATCTACATTACTGTAGGCCTACTAAATCGGACGACAATGGGTGATAAATAGTTAAATAATGGTTATTATGGACAGGTTTCAGGCAAATGGAAAGAATGGAAATATGGTGATGAAATCCTGGTTAGACATATATATGTGTATGTTTACAAGTGAGGGTTAAAATGGGAGAGTACTGGTAGAATAATGGAAAATGTTGGTGACATTTTCTTTTAGTATTGGCCAAATCATATGATTTATAATTATATCTTCCTGTATATAGGAAGTTTTTGATTATCAAAATACTAGTTAAATATCAGGTAATTTAGGTAAATTTATGTCACACAATCAAAATTCACCCATTTTTTCTTACTGTTGGTCATGCCCATTATTCACAACGGTTTTACTATTTTTGTCCGACTGAGCATAGTTAACTATAGGATGACTACTTGTACACCGATATATACACAATAAAATTGTTAAAATTGCTTCTTAGTAGTTCAGTGCAAATACACACATTAAAGGATACTAGTTATCCATCAGAAATCTTTCAAACAACCTGTAAGTTAAAATATTAGTTGAATTTACTATTTACTTTGACTTTCCTACAGCACTGTCTCCCAAACAAATTATCTTAACTCTCACTGAAGCATTTTCACCAGGACAGTTATCTGATGTTTCACACATATGGCAAGTATCGAAAGAGGAGCGGTTTTCTATCACTATGGGAGACTTCAATATCCAATAACGGTTTTCTGAGCTAGAATATGCCAGATTGGCTTCTGTGGATTCACCTTTTAATTTTTAGGTATGTAATCCGGACACACCTAATATCAGGGATTTGTTATGATAATGGTGATAATCAGCTTTATTCCAAAAACAGTACTTATAACACAGAATGGAATTCTCAGCATTTGTTATGGAGACTGGTTATAGGTGGTGTTACAAGCTGTTGCTGTGATAGGAGTGATTTCTTTCTCCTATTAGTCGTCCGGTATGATCAAAAAGGACACAGTTGTAGTATCGCTAGTGGATATTAAATGGACTTATGGGTGAAATCGAGCAAACGGATAGGTGGGAAATAAAATTTGATAATTAATTGGACTAATAGGTTGAATCTTCGGATTAATTGGACAAGGTAGACTGTGCAGGAGTAAATGATTGGTTAGGAATATATCTATCAGAGAAGTGTGGTATGTGAGCCTCGGGTGGATAGTCCATCTGGAAATAGACCTTGTGCTATTGTATAATTACGCAACCACTGCTCATCGTTTTCCACTGAAGGTGCTATAGCCACGGCTGCTGGTAAGGAGATTCAGGGCTCACAGGTTCGAAACGAAGAGACATGGGAACCCACTAAAGTCATTGCACTTGGATGCGCGGTCTTTCATGGGTTGCCACGAGGAAGTCCATAATGATGATATGACAGAGTACTGTGTTTGGAGGAATCTGGACATTCGCAATATTATAAACAGTTATTAGAATGCCTTTTCATCGCACTGGTGTGTATTAACCGAGTATCATTGCGATTCTGTAGCCCCCTCACTTGAGGTTATTGTGTGCTCTAACTATACGGGGTTGTGGTAAGCATTCATAGGATTAGGTGAATGTGGTGTTTCTTTACTACTTGAAACAGAGTAAAATTTATGCATATTCAAGTAAGCACGCTTTCAATCAACAGTACTGTTGAGAAAGTCCTCGTCAAGACATAAGTGCTACCAACAATCTTGCACCTGTATTCAAAATAAGTAGCCTCTGATTGGGACGCAGGTTCCACCGGTGATTATGTATGCACAGATGTCAACCAGCCAATAACGACACTTGTCGGGACGTCGAGCCGAGCAGCATATACAGTATAATAACGTCTGAGGATGTGAAACACCTCCACCATCTTTAATAGTAAAGTTATCACGATTGACAAATACGAAATACTTTTCAGTAAACTTAGGAGTAGTCTGTACAGGCAAACAATGTTAGAAACGTTAAACCATCCTCTCAAATTTCATCTGCGATCTCAGAGACATAAGGATGGCTGAGTAGTGAAAAGGCCTATGAGCTGTTGCAAATATCAACAGGCTCCCGGCATTCATATCTCCGGGATCTTTTGTATACACTACCGATCTCCTGCTATGGACATGGACGCATTCAAGACTGTCAGTCGCCGAATACTCCTTCAATGATTCTGACTGTCTAGTCTTGTCGAGTTATCTCGCATCTGAGAAAGATTTGTCATCTAATGATATTAGATAGTTGGAGGCAATCGGCAGGAAGCCTTGGACCTAGGTTTCGTGCTAGTTGGCACTCGTCAGCAAGGCGTACCTGCAACCTTGAAGGAACTCATGTCCCTTCTGAGATGCGAACCCGCGTCACCCAGTGCTGCGGTCAGAGACGTTACCCCTGATCTATTCGGGCTCTCCATTGACCTCCTGTAGGAATGTAGTGGGTATTTTCATTGAACACTTGCAACTAGTGTGACGTGTCTAGTCCTTTCTTTGGTGCAAACTGAAACGAAAGACCTAAAGCACGAAACCTAGGTCCAAGGCTTCCTACCGATTGCTTCTAACTGTCTAATATCATCAAACCAATGTGCACCGTGATGGCGAGCTACCTAGAATGCTGGCCACATTACAAACCTGACTGATAGAATTCAGTTTGCGACAGAGAAAGGACTAGACTCGTCACACCCGTTACTAGTGCCGAATCAAGATTTGTCATCTAGCCGATCATTCTAATTCATCTCAGTACTTGCAGAATGCTAGTCAAATTTTCGTTCATGGTCCTACAATATATATTTATATACCTACATGTACCAAAGGCCTTCCATATGAGAGCGTGCTGGTACATTGACCAACACAAATAGTTTTGTTCAGAGCTGCTATTATCCGTCTTCTATCTCACCTCAAGGTTAGCTTCAATCGTCAGCATACAGAAGCTGAATTTAGAGTTGGTTTTGTACGTTGGTACATATGGGGAACGCAAAGACAAAGAAGAATGCACACCTGTAGGTGCAGGCATCTCTCTCATTGCCCATATATTGCCAGGAACTGGACGTCTGTCCTATGCATCAAATACGAATCCAAGGTATTTAACGGATCTCAAGGATAACTGACACTTCGTAATCTGTTATCCTGCATACGTGAGAAGACAGCTTCTGTTTGGCTGTAAAGTTCGTTTGGAGGATACACTACCACCAAGACATCGTCAAGACAGACAGCAACAGCATAAATTCTAGCCGAAACGGAATACATCAGCTGTTGGAAAGTAGCTCCGAAAGGTGATATGTTGTATTGAAACAGACTGCAGTGTGTATTTATAGCAAGGAGTTCTCGACATTCTAGAGCCACTTCAACGTGCAGATATGCGTCGGCAAGATCCAGTCTTGCAAAATAACAGCCACTATTTAAAATGGTGAATAAGTCATCCGGGTTAGGTGGAGGATAGTGGTGCTGTTCTAGTGTAGCATTCAACCAAATAGGAAAATCAGTGCAAGCACGTGGTGACCCATCTGCTCTCTTGACAACTACGATGCGTGCTGCCCATACCAAGCACGTGACTGGTGCAGAAATGCGACACGTTCAACGTTTGCGTTACATTTTAGCTTGATCGCTACATATTTCTATTTTCACTGTGAGACTTGCACAAGTGTTTCTCTAGTTCCATAATTGTAACCAATAACTCTTTCACTAATTAATTATGGTTAGTCATACACTTACTTCAGAAATAGAACGACTAAAGTTGTCGGTAGAAGAAGTAAACACTGAGATGCGGGATATAAGGTGTAGTACGGCTATGAATGCAGGGTGTTCAGAAAGTTTGGCCAGCATATCTCAGCTATCAACACAGATTACTGACATCAAATCGCATTCAAATGCTTTCTGTAGAGACTGCTTCACTCTGCCGATTACATTAATAAACTATTTATTCTTAGAACGAATCAATTATTAGTTTATTACAGCACCTAAAAATCGCTCATAAATTCAACAATTTCTCTACAAGCGATAAATAGACTAGTCGCATAGATACATAAAAAGACTGAATAGAAATAAATATTTATGTTTACTAGATGGCAAGTACAACGAATATGAACATATATGTACAGACAATAAGGCCCTATCCGTGTCAACATACTTTTTCTTTCCCCTCTGGTACTTTGCTGCTCGCCTCTTCTCTTCTATTTACCTTGTAGTGGAAGTTGCACAAATCTAGATTTAGACTGAAGCTGAACAAGAATTGAAGTCAATTACTCATACATCATATCGTCCTTAAAGGTTTGGGCTAGTAATGACTCAGCACCCTTGAAAATTCACTGTCTTCATAACAGGATGATGTACAGCATCCTATAAAAGCAGTACCCATCATCCAAAATGGCTTACAAACAGCTTTCTACGTGTTAATCAACTTACTCGCACGGAACAACCATGCAAGGACAAATGACGGTTTTGGCTGACGTGGGCGAACTAAAACAAATCTGCCTGACAATAACCAATATTAGTCTGCATTGAGTACAATTCACTTCTGGTGTTACTTACGATGAAAATGTTGACAAAATTATACAAACATATCACTTATTTCAAATTAATACCGAATTTGGATGTAAATCAAGAATAAGATACGGTGCCGCACACATAAAGTTATATGGAGGAATTGACTCCAAGCTTTAATTTTTCCCAAACATTTTTAATCCATCCAACACATACTCGGGTTTTGCTTGTCAATGCAAATACAATATTTCTATATTTCTTAGTGCGCTCCACTGAATGATTAGTTAGCAGATTGTACTCAAAAACTAATATCAGAAAGTACAGCAACGATGTAATTTCACCGTAAATCAAATTCATGTGATTTAAATAAAACTTACCCATGCCTGTATGACTGGCGTGTCCCACATAGATAGGGATAAATAAATATTATTATTAGTGCACGTTGCAGTTGTAATCTCTGCAAGTCTTCGTCAACTTTTGCTTCGGATGCATTTAGGACTGGCCTCTTTTGGCGAAGTTCCGGTTCGGCATCTGGTAGTATTCGAGATACTCCCTGAATCGAAGTGCAGTGGCCTAGACCAGGTTGAGAAACAGGTAGAAATGGTTTGCATAGACTGGAAAAGGAGTCACCTGAATTTGGTGCTTGTTGACTGCATTGCACACAGAATTAAGTAAACACCAGCCAGTTGCAGATGGTCAAACGAGTCGAGTCTCAAACGACTTAAGTCATTCTGGGTGACGTAACAAATTCCTGTGTATTTGATATTACGGAAAGGCACACTGCACTCGAGTTCGCCAGTTAGCCTACGGCGTTCACCACAGGCACTGACAGCAGTTTGCGAAGTGTTCACAGTAGGTGATCTGCCGATGTCATCTCAAAGTTTCTCTGATATGACAGTAATGTCAGAGGTGGTATCTAACTACAGTCATGTGACATGACCACTTATTCACAGATCAACTTGTTTGCTTATACCTGGTGTTGTGACTCGGCGTGTTGCTAGCAGACTCACTGGAGTTCTGGGAGACCTAGGACTGACCACAGATCGAGATTTCATTGGACATGGGTGTCTGTGTTTTTGTGGCCACCAAAATCTGTCTTTATGACCGATTTTATTACACTTGTGGCAACGACGATGTTAAGAAGGACAGAACCTTATAAAATTCCACTCGCCACAGTGCCACCATGGTGATGGTGGTTTCTTGGAAATATTTTGTTAGGTTGAACCAG